CCAAGACCGACAAGTCCAGAGCAGAGCGTCCTTATCACCACCGCTCCGAGCGTATCCATGCATCTAGCAGAGCGGCAAAGCAAGAAGCTCCACCCGACCCGATCTGATCTGACCCGACCTGACCTAGTCTGATCTGACCTAGTCTGATCTGACTTGACCTGATCTGATCCGACCTTATCTGACCTGATCTGATCTGACCTAATCTGATCTGACCTGACCTGATCTGATCTGACCTGACCCTGCCTCCGCGCCCCATCCCCAGCCGGCCACCACCGCGCCAGCGTCGGCCCCGCGGTCCACACAAGGCCCGCACCAGGCCGGCGGCGGCGGCGACCGACGGCCGGCGGCGGCACCAGCGGCGCCAGCGGCGTTACCGGCGGCGCCAGCGGCGGCACCAGCGGCGCCAGCGGCGCTGCCGGCGGCGCCAGCGGCGTTACCTGGCAGCACGAACGGCGCGGCTCCGAACGGGTCCTCCGGCTCCGGCGCTGGGTTAGTGGCGGCCGGCGGCGGCGCTGCCGGGTCACACGGACGTTACTCGCTCGGGACGGCCCGTCTCCGCCGCTCACAGCGCCAGGCTAGGGCCGGCGCGGGGCGCGGGCGAGCAGGCCGGCGGCGGCGGCGGGGCTGCGGCACCCTCCCTCTCCCCTCTCCAGCAAGAAGTAACGCTGCTGTGGCGCCCCGTGAGCAAGACGTTTTATTATTTGTTTGTGAGGGGAGATATATGTTTATTTGTTATGTTATATGTTTAGCTATTGTAAAGCCAACGACTGCACATATATCAACGCTCAGGGGCCCTGACTTTACTGGGGTTAGAAACAGCCCCCCCCCCAAACGTCGGAGTCAAATGCGCTAACCACCCGGCAATGACACCCCTTTTCGTGTTCTTACGTCGTTGGCAGCGCGCGTGGACGGTGAGAGAATAACCCCGAAAACTGTGCCCGGGAATGTATCGGGATAGCCCATCACCCATCGTGGCCCGTCTAAGCCCCATAAAACAGTTCAGAGTCTTTGGCGTTCCATCCCGCAACCGAATTTTAGCCCTTACAGAAACCCGATGTGAAAACAACCCTAAATGGGAGCACATCAGACCCCAGCCACGGACCTGACATTCCAATTAGCCCTTTCCCACTGAAAGCCGCCGGGCGCCGCCGAAGCAGCGCCCGCACGCCAGCCGCCTCTGCCGCCGGGAAGCCCGGCCCTGCCCACCCAGGCCACGTGCACCACCCGCCGTGCGAGCACCACGTGCGAGCACCACGTGCGATCAGCAAAGGCCACCGGTGGAAGGTTAGTGACACACACACACACACACACGCACACATACACTGGGCCAGGCTGCAGCACTGCAGCCGGCGGGGAGAGCGCAGCGCGACGGGAGTCCGGGAGAGAGAGAGCGTGGGGCAAACGGCTACAACAGGGCTCGCTCAGCAGTCGCAACGCGAGACTATAAAGCCAAGAGGGCTGAACACACGCTCAGAGCCAAAGGTCGCGGGTTCTACTCCGACTGGCGGGGAAACTTTTCCTTCGAAAACTTCTGGCGGGGGGGGGGCAGTGCCACGAGGTTCAACGCTACAGGCACCACATGCAGAGCAGCAGCAGCAACAGCTCGGCGCCGATCGGGCCGGAGTCAAATACGTCAGAGCCGGGCAGCCCTAGAGCCGCGGCACGAGGCTCGTGGCCACTCCTCGCACCTCCTGCTCCAGCCAGACGGGGGTCGGGGGTGGGGAGGGGGCGGCTGTCCGTCCGTCCGTCCGTCCGTCCGTCCATCTGGTCTGGTCTGGTCTGGTCTGGTCTGGTCTGGTCTGGTCTGGTCTGGTCTGGTCTGGTCCGTCCGTCCGTCCGTCCGTCCGTCCGTCCGTCCGTCCGTCTGTCTGTCTGTCTGTCTGTCTGTCTGTCTGTCTGTCTGTCTGTCTGTCTGTCTGTCTGTCTGTCTGTCTGTCTGTCTGTCTGTCTGTCTGTCTGTCTGTCTGTCTGTCTGTCTGTCTGTCTGTCTGTCTGTCTGTCTGTCTGTCTGTCTGTCTGTCTGTCTGTCTGTCGTCGGCTGGCCGATGCAGCAGTCTCCGGAGGCCGCCCCCGCCCGATGTTACGGGATCCAGCGGTACGAGTTGCACGGCACCGACAGGGGGACGCATTAGCCGCTCCTCCCCCAACTCGCAATAAAGAGCTGACTTAAGCCAACGCCAAGTGACGTCCCGCAGGTCGGCGCAGACAGCCCCCTGCGCGGGTAGCCCCGCCCCTCTTCCTCAGCTCACCTGGGGGCGGGGCCGTGACGTCACGCGGCGCCAGCTGACCGAAGGGCGGCGCGGCCGCCTCGAATGGGTTCCAGGTGGGGCGCGGCGGCGGCGGAGGCAGCGTCTGCCGGCGAGCGTCACACGGGGTCACGCGGGGTCACCGGCCGGCCGGCGCGACGCCGCCGATGACGGGGCGCCGTGACGTCATCACCTCGCAATCGACTGGCAGCGCCGCCTCAGCCGAGAGTGGTGAGACACGTGACCAACTGGTCCCCTCCACTGACCTAGCAGCTGAGACCCGCACCAACAGTAACGGCACTGCACCGCCCTGCACCGACAGCACCGGCACAGCGTGACCCGAGCTGACCTGGGAGGCGCTGCCGGACAGGTGGGTGTGCGGCTGCAGGCTGACCTCCAGCGGCGACCTCTGGCCGGGGTCGGCGGCGCCGCGGCTGGCGCTCGGCCGCGGCCGGTCCACCTGGTGCGGCGCGATGAACTGGCTCGTCTCCGACATCAGTGACCTGCAGCCGGACCACCACAGACCTGAGCGGCCGGACCATCACAGACCTGAGCGGCCGAACCATCACAGACCTGAGCGGCCGGGCCATCGCAGACCTGAGCGGCCGAACCATCACAGACCTGAGCGGCCGGACCATCACAGACCTGAGCGGCCGGACCATCACAGACCTGAGCGGCCGAACCATCACAGACCTGAGTGGCCGGACCATCACAGACCTGAGCGGCCGAACCATCACAGACCTGAGCGGCCGGACCATCACAGACCTGAGCGGCCGAACCATCACAGACCTGAGTGGCCGGACCATCACAGACCTGAGCGGCCGAACCATCACAGACCTGAGCGGCCGAACCATCACACACCTGAGCGGCCGAACCATCACACACCTGAGCGGCCGAGCCATCGCAGACCTCAGCGGCCGAACCATCACAGACCTGAGCGGCCAAACCGTCACAGACCTAGCGGCAGAACCATCACAGACCTGAGCGGCCGAACCATCACAGACCTGAGAGGCCGAACCACGCGTCGGCGCGGTAACGCCGTCAGCTGGATACGTCATCTACACTTCGTCTACATCAAGCTCATTCGAAAGGAAAGTGAGACATCACACCAGCGCTGGAGAGACGCCGCAGGACGAGACTGGAGCCTGGGGCCCACAGCCTGGCATAGCACGACATGCTATGCCAGCGTGATCCGACCTAGCCCAGCCCGGCCCGTCTCGGTCCAGCCCGTTGGCGGGCAGCCGGTCTCACTTGTTGAACGTGCTCGTGTCGGAGACGTTGCGCCGGTGTCCGCTGCGCTGCGGCGGCGCCACCAGCTTGCAGGAGCTCAGCTCCGGTGGCGTGACAGAGCCGGCCTTGACCGGGCCGGCGCCTGCCGCCGGCCACACGCGGGGTCAGGTCAGGTCAGGGGTCAGCCAGGCAGGGCGACGAACACACGACGGCAAACACGGCGACGGCGGGACGGTCGCCGGTGGACTGTGTGCTCACGGTCTCCGACTCAGACCCAGACTCAGACACAAATCAGACCCAGACTCAGACTCAATCACGACTCAGACTAAGACACGAATCAGACCCAAACTCAGATTAAGACATGGATCAGACTCAGACATGAATCAGATTCAGGCAGGGGACAGAGCGTGAGAACGCGACAACAGAGACACGAGCCAAACGCAGGGAACACAGCAGACGGAAAACCAGCGCACATCAGAACTCGCAAGACAGAGCAGGGAAAGACGACAGGGGGACACATAAGAAAGACGGCACTCGCTGAGACTGCTTATCAAACCTACCAGCCTGATACCCGCACGCACGCACACACACATACACGCACGCATGCACGCACGCACGCACAGGGGATGCGAACGCACACAACCACCGCGCGGCCACCACGCGAACGAAGACACGGACCGCTCGCCGGGGTCGAGACGGCGCTCGTCTTGGCCCCGGCGAAGACAAGAGCGGCTGAAGAAGACAGGGGCGACAAGAGCGGCCGCCTGTGCGTGCTCCGCCCTCCGCCGGCGCCCGCTCACCTGGTAAGCGAGCGGGCGGCTCGGCCGGCTCCACCCGGCTGCGGCGGCCGGCCAGCTCGGCCGGCTCAGCAGGTGAGAAGTCGTCGCCGAACGCGTGCCGGCCGGCCGCCGCAGCCGCCGCCACGTCCGCGGGCAGCGGCGCCGCCGCGAAGTCGTCGCCGAACTGGCTGGGCGGCAGCGCGGGAGCAGCGGCAGCGGCAGCGGCAGGCGCCGGCTCGGGCGCGAACTCGTCCGAGAATTGCGTGCCGAACAGCGGCGTGCTGGCGAGCGGCTCGGCCGCTGCCGCCGCCGCCGCCGGTGCCGGTGCCGGCGCCGGTGCCGGCGCCGGCGCCGGCGCCGGCGGCGGCGGCGGCGGCGCCACAGACGTCCGCTTGCCGGAGCCTGTCGGGGAAGGCGGGCCAGTGACGCACGCCGTCCGCGGCCGGCAGATGGCGCTGCTCAGCCGGCTGTGTTTGGACGGCGCCGTTTGCTTTGGCCACCAGCGGCGTACGACCAGGAGCGATCGGCAGTGACATGGTTCGCACGCACGAGTGATGATGAGCACAGCAGTGGTTGCGGACTACTCCACTCGCCCGCCGCCACAGACACCGGCAAACCCGTCCGGGAGGGGGGGGGAGGGGGAGGGAGGGAGCCAGTGGCGGTGGTGGGGGCGTCAGACCCTCCCACTTCCCGACGGCGTGACCTCTCCCCGCGCGGTGGACCCACGCGCCACCCGAGCAGCGCGCTACCCACCCTGCGGCGGCAGCGGCAGCGCTTGGACCGCCGACGACGCCGGCGCCGCCTTCAAGCCGGCCTTCGGGCGCTGGCGCGGCGCCACTGACGTCAGCACCTCCAGCGGCGGGTCGCGCAAGCTGGGCGTGGCCGGCTTGCCGTCGGATGGCGCTGGCGTCGCCTGCGATTCCAGCACGCCAAGCAACGAGTCGATGTCGGGAACGGCAACGTTCTGCAACGACGGGTCGGTGTCAGCGGCAACACCACAACTGAGACGGCCATTTCACGCCAGGAGCAGCCACAGAGGCGGGATATCCGACGTCAAATATACCCACGCAATCTGGTAAACACCCCAAACCTTGGCATGACTGCATTCCACGACACAAACCAGGGCGATGCACAATTAAAGCTAACCGTTGGCACATACCACTGCGTCAGCGCAGGCACAATACAGACGCCAACCTCCCTTCTTCTCCAATCCTTCCCATGCATGCCACTGAGATGCCCCCAATTCAGTCCCGATAGCGCACCCTAGACACACAGCTGCCCCCTGCCCGGGACCAAGTCCACAGCCACCGCGAGGACGCCTCTCTCCGGCCCCCAGGGCGCGGGTGAGCGCGAGCGACCGGCAGTCCACCGAGGTAACCGACCGTCAAACGCCCCGGGGCACGGCGCCGGGCCGGGGCGCGGCGGGACGGGACCGGGCGGGGCGGAGCGGGGCGTGGCGGGGCGGGGCGCGCCGGGCGATTACGGCGCGCCGTTCTCGCGCCACGCGCGCCACCTGGCGCCCTGCCGCCCCCGGCCGGCCCGCTCGCGCACGTCCGTCCGAGTGACTCATTGCGTCTGGACGTCCCGCATCTGTTGTGTGCATTCCAACCGTGCCGCCCGGGAGTGGACAATGAGAGCAGCGAGCACTCGGCCGTCGGCGGTCCGCTGGCTGGCCCCATACCAGCCTCACTGTGCATGCAGGGCCGAATAAACCCAGCTGCAGGGGCCGCAGTAGACTGCTGCTCCCCCCCCCCCTCCCCCCGCTCTCACCCCCACCCCCACCACACCAACATGCATGCATCCTAGCATTACGAAATGATCGAGACTTTCTCCGATGGACTGATTGTTCGGATTGCCGTCCTCGGCTGGCGTGATAGCGGCATATACACAACGCCTGTTGACCATCCACTGGCCGAAGCGTTGTGTACACACTAGCATGCCAGACGAGGGTAGTCGTTCAGACCATTACTCGATCCGAGGCATGCAGTTATTTCAACTAGCTAGCGAGCCCATGGACTGCCTCGGACGACGGCAGTAGCTGCACATAACCCGTCGCCGGCTGCCGGCCGCGACCGCGACACTCACGTGAAGGTTCTGCACGCTACACTCCCTGCCCAGCAGACGGCAGGTGAGAAAGGACAACTGGAATATGTCCGGACGCAGCGCGGGATCCGGCTGTAGGATGTAGCCTGTAACGGGGCGCGCAGTGTGAGCGGCGCGTGCCGCGTGCCGGGCATGGCTGCCTCCGAACAGAGCTCACCGGCCTCCTCCAACGACGCGGGGGGAGGCGGCAGACACCTGGCAAGACGATGATAGCGGTGGTCGTCACAAGGACGCGAACGATGCTACTGCGGAGGTAGTCACGTGATCGCTCATATTAGACTCTCCCGAACGGAACCATGAGACTGCATGAACTCCTAACTTTAGCGAACATCCAGAGAAACACAACCTAACCCACTGAAGACCCGCTACGCTTTCGAACACAAGCCAACATAACACATCAACAGAATAGATACCCTCGTAGTGCTCATTTGACCCCCGTCCCAACAAAACAGACGACTACACCAGCATCACAAAGAAACCCAGCACACAGGCGCCTCTGCGCGCAGGGAGGTGCCACTTACGGATGAGGGCGTGCAACCGCTTGGAATACTTTGAGCTGTCGGGGAAGCTGAACTGGCCACTCTGGATGGCCAGCGCCGACTCGCCGAACGGCAGCGTGAAGAAACACAGCTTGTACAGCAGGCATCCCAGGGCCTGCGGTGGCGCGGCGCCGGCGGCATTAGCGGCTGACTCGCCGTGTTGGAAGGGTTGAAAGCGAACGCCCCTGTCCAGAATCGAACCCACGCCCCTCCGCTGCCAGAGGACGGGCGTCGGTTGTGCGATAGGTCCTCATACCCTTCCCCTCCCGATACCCCCCCCCCCCCCCATATAGGGGGGGGGGGGGCGTTCCATAAGGCTGACACGTCTGACTCGTCTGAGACGTCTGATACGTCTAACAATCGGCCACGTCTGATACGTCTGACACATCCGATAACCTGAGACTTCTGCTACGTCTGATAGTCTGACACGTCTGACAGTCTGATACATCTGATGCGTCTGACACGTCTGATACATCTGACACGTCTGACAAATCATGTCGCCTGACACGTCACGACCCTTGCCCCGTACACCCCAGCCTCAGCACACCGCCAGCGCCGGCGCCTCGGTGGCTGCGGGCCGCTCGCTTACCCAGACGTCGCTGCTGGTGGTAATGCTGGCGCCCGAGTACAGGTCCACCATCTCGGGCGAGCGGTAACTGAGCGTGGTGTACTTCTTGATCTCCTCCTCAACGGCCGGCACGCCGCCGCTGGCCGGGTTCAGTACCTGTCGCGGCGGGGGCGCCGTCCGTTCAGCCACCCGGCGGAGACCGGCGAGCCGGCGGCGCACACGTCTGGCGCGTGTCTCAGATGGGATGAGGAGACGCGCGCTGTTCAAATGGCTGTGTGGTAACGGAGTAGTGTTCGGTGTCGCCGGACGATGCGGCGACACCCAACACTACGGAGGAGCCCGGCGACCCACACGTCTGGCGCGTGTCTCAGATAGGATGACGGGACGCGCGCTGTCCAAATGACTGTGTGGTAACGGAGTAGTGTTCGGTGTCGCCGGACGATGCGGCGACACCGAACACTACGGAGGAGTCCGGCGGTGCGTGAGACATCAGAGACAGGGAGGCGCTCCAATGCTGCCTTGTGCGAGCTATGGGAGAGGCCCAGCTTGCGCTTGCTGCATGCCAAACGGACTCGCCAAGCCAATATGTGGGACAATTCCTACGGTGTAGGCATTTGAGACCCGTCGATGCTTCCAAAAAACGTATCTGTAGTTTTGTAACTTGTTGGTCATTTAAACAGGTACTTCCAAATGACTTCTGTGTAGTTTGTTTAGTTGTTGGTCATTAAAAGTACTCGCAAAGCGCTTGACCGCAGTTTGCTCTTGTGCCTTTTGCCCTGGTCTGTATCCATCAAAGCGAGGTGAAAACTCCGCCAGGCGAGCAAACGCAACAAACGGAAGCCACAACTGACATAACAAAGAATCGGACATAAATGTGGTATTTTCCTCATAGCGTTCAGCGCGATCAATACGCTGCAGGCCTGGGATCACGCAAATGAGCACCCCGGATGAGTTCAATACGCCGCTTGGTTTGTCGCAGTCCCCTACACATGCCGTCATCCGCACCAATGAATTTGTTTATGACGTCACCCGTGCCGATGAGTTCGTCCGATACCATGCATGTGTTTAACCTAGCAGGGCTGGGCAAACACATTGGCACGGGTTTGGGCTCATTCCAAACGTGCAAGTCCGTTTTTCCTGCCACTCCCCGGAAGTCAACGTTCGAGTGTCTCCCGGAAAGGTACGGTGTCTGGCAGGCACACACACAGCACATCATCTCCGCACACCGCCGAGACGACGCTACCTTGGCGGTGGCCGAGCCGAAGTCGCAGAGCACGAACTTGCCGTCGTCGGAGAGAAGGACGTTTTCCACCTGAAAACGGCGGCGAACGTCGACCGTGCGGGCATCGCGCGCCAGGGAATGATATCGCAGTCCGCGAGGACCGGGTGGCGGGGGGTTGCGGTTTGTGCCCAGTCCTGCTTCCGAGGGGTCGATTTCGACGCACCTGACGCTGACCCCCGCGCCGGCAGCGAGCAGCGGCAGCACCCTTAGCCGTCCACTCGTGGCCGTTGACCGGGCCGTGACACGTACGCATAACGATGTCGCCAGGCACGGCATTTTGTGATGAATGGTAAATCAGTGTCGCGTGATCTGGCGCGAAATTCGAGACGATGGACTCGATCGCAACCAACGGCGTATGCCTAGCACTTCACAGTTGTTTCCTTAACGTCACAGACATGTGACAAACCACAGCGACAAACGCGTTACCACCAAACCACAGAAGGTCACATCGCACTATTCCCACCGCCAAAAAGCCGGCGGGACGTGACCTCGCCGGTGTGCTGCTCATCGACTGACCTTGAGGTCGCGGTGTATGATGGGCGTCTGGCAGTGGTGCAGCCGGGAAACGGCCTCGCACACGTCGCTGAAGATTCGCAGCACCTCGTGCTCCGAGAACCCCGTCTGCAGTCTGCAAGGACACGGCGTGGGGTCAGAGGGGTCACAGCCGGGTCAGAGGTGTCACAGCCGGGGTCAGGGGGGTTACAGAGGGGGTCGGAGGGGGCGCAGCCGGTGTCAGAGGGGTCACACACGGGGTCGGAGGGTCACAGCCGGGGGCAGAGGGGTCACAGCCGGGGTCAAAGGAGTCACAGCCGAGATCAGAAGGGTCACAGCCGGAGTCGGGGGTTCCGAGGCAGGGTCACAGCAGTCGGGGTTGGGGTAATGGGACGGCGACGGCCGCCGCACGGTCGAGGCGGCAACTCTCGGCCCCGCATCATACGGTCAGGCGAGGTCGCGCGGGCCGGCACGAAGGCCGTCTCGTGACGTCTCCGTCCCGACGCTGCCACGCCGCGCGAGCCAATTCGCAGCCGATCAAGCGCAAACATATCACCGCGAATCGGGGTCAGCGCCATGGCAGCGCGCTCTGAAGCTTTGGAAGAGAGCGGGAGAAATAGAGAATCGATTTTTGCGAAGCCACGTGGGACGACAGCAGCGCCGAGCCTCCGAGACAGCGATAGCCCGCGGGTCTGCTGCGGAGACTGGGCGCGGCCTTCGATGTGAATTGAGACCGACGCCGAGCATACGTACGTCGGCGGCGTAAGAATTGCAGCTGTGTTTCGAACACGTCGAACACAGACTTGATAAGTGACAAATTAGTTTGGTTAGCGCGCTATTTTAACAAAGACCTGGCCGACCGTGCTGCAATAACTGAGAGTCTGGTTCAATGATGGCACGTGTACTGTGCTGTCAAATCAACACGGCGGGAAAAAGTCGAGAGCCTTTTCGCTACAACGGCGGTTTAGCGTCCGAAAAATTCAGACACGGCCACTGAACACCCCTAAGGCATAACATTGCAAATGGCTTACGCTTCCCGACAACAGGCAAATACTATGACTTCTATTTCGCGTCTATTTAGAGGGACAGCGCGTGACAGCACAACACCACGGTGACAGAGGCTCGCTCAGCCGTGAGCGCTCGTCCGGCGGCGACGATGCTCCGAGAAACAGGGCGCGGCGGAAGAAGCAGAAGCCCGTCCGTCTAGACAGGTCGTGACCCCGTCCAGACGGACCCAACAGGCCAAGACCCCTTGGGTTACCCAATCGCTTTGAAATTGTTATTCTAAAGCACATCGCTGCAACGCAACGCCTTTGCGCCGAATGCCAGCCAATCAGCTTCTTCCTCACGGAGTTCCCGGACGTTCGTGACATAATCATGGCCGGTAGCAACAAACACCACGGATGCTCCACCGTCGGCAGCGGCCACGGCCTCTACCAAAAAGCCACCTGTCTACGGTGACCTACCAATAATGATTTTCCGCAATCGAGTGGTGGCATCCACTGAAGCTGATAACGATAGTGTGGAAATAGGTCGCGGCAGAGGGACTTTAACGGACGGGGTCGCAGGAATGCCGGTAAAACACTGACGGCGTGCACAACTGTGGCCTTCTCTCCTGACTCACGAGGTTTACTTAACAGCCTTTTCACAACCCACGCCCGTCCAGCACTTGACTGCATTGGCTGCTGGACAGCCAGTACAATGTTGCACGTGCATCATGGGTCTCCGTCATCCTCAAAGCGTGCTCGCAAATCGCACTTGGCTGACGATTCGGAGCGATTCGTAACAATCTGAAGTACGTCGCAAGCTGACGAGGGCTCTGCCCATCCCGTCTTCACAGCACTTTAGACAGAACACAAAACTGACTGATGTCAGACGCGGGACTTGTACCCACAGCCGGATGTATCGGGTGTGCAGAGTGGAGAGGTTGCCGCTTGTGAAAATATACTAAGATATGAACTTGACCACGAGCGACTGTAAACGCAAACGCATGATGAGGACCACAAAGTTCGAGATAAGGACTTGTGAAAAGCACGAGTGTAAAAAGTGCCGAAAATTAAAAGCAGCGTCAAGTGCGGCCTGGGCGTACCCACCGAACCGCCCTCTCTCCTTCCCCCCCCCCCCCCCTCCGATCGCTTGGCGGTGCTCACCTCTCGTTCATCATCTGTAGGACGTGGGTGCGGTAGTACGGCATCAGCAGCAGCACCTCGTACACCCCGCCGCCACAGCTGCGCACTGTCGAGTCCACGTAGCCGATGATGTAGGGGTGGCCACTCAGGCTTGACTGCAGCGACGGAGAGACGGAGTCAGGAGACATCAACGAGTCGGGAGACATCACCGAATCGGGAGACATCACCGAGTCCGGACACATCACCGAGTCAGGAGACATCAACGGGTCGGGAGACATCACCGAGTCGGGAATCACCGAGTCGGGAGGCATCACCGAGTCGGGAGACATCACCGAGTCGGGAGGCATCACCGAGTCGGGAGGCATCACCGAGTTGAGATACGTCACCGAGTCAGGAGACATCTGGGAGTCGAGAGACATCACCGAGTCGGGACACATCACCGAGTCGGGGGACTACACGGCGTCGGCAGACATCACCGAGTCGGGATACGATAGTCATGAGGTGACATGTAGTCGAGAAAGAGATCGGATTCAGGAGACAATAAAGAATACGGAAAATACAAAGCAGGAGCACTACATGGAGCTTGGGAGAGAACAGCCAGAAGATTGATCGGGTGAAAGGACGGCACAGTCATGGAAAGACGCGGCGCTCAGAAACAAGATAGTCGGTGGTCAATGCATTCAGGATTAACAAGTCGGGGTAAATGGACAAAGAGGAGACAATAGAGTCCGTGGACAAGTGAGTTAGTAGACAGTACAAAGATGGGTGAGAACAAAGCTGAAGACAATATAAAAACAATAAAACACCGCCAAAAGGCACTCCCAAAAGGCCACAGCACATTCGGAAGCAAACATGGACTATAGGTTACAGGAACGTCACAAAAATGCATTAACCGGAATGCTAGAATACTGGAGTCAGGAGAGCACGAATAACCGATGCAGGTGATGCGCCCGTAAAACCCAATAACTAACAGGACAGACCGGAGACAAGCGAGATCAGAACACGTTACGCGGCCAAGAAATAACACCAAGTCGAAGGATTAAGTAGAACAGGGATCAACACAGTCAGAAGACCATACAAAGGCAAGGTAGAAGCCAGCACAGACTGCCGAGCTAAGAGTCAGAAGAATGCACCGGATCAGGGGCCACGAACCAAAGGGAAATACAGAGTCAGGGAACTTTTATGGTTTCTTCAGAAAGACGCCTTGGTTTCAGCCTGGCCGGGCGCGCGTCGAAAGCCGATGACGTCATGAGAACAACACGTATCGTGCGATGCATACTCGAGTGTGCTCGAACTGAGATCTAGGCTAGACTGTCGTAGCGTAAGTCATGTTTAAGGCTCAAAAGTCCGTTTGAGTCATCTTAAACATTCAAACATACAAGAAAGCTGGAATCGATACGCCACCACTAACTGACAACAAATATGACGAAAATAAGTCGCGTGCTCGATCTCCAAACGTATCAGCTGAACTCCCCTGGCATCTCCTCTCTAAAAGAATAAACCGCACAGCGGGACCCGATTGGAGACAGAAGAAAACAATCCTATGAGCATGTTCCACTGCGGCTTCACGGCCCACTTCGCGACTGAGGTAATATGTCGCCATCTGTCTCTCACCCTGTCGGAAAAAGTGGGCACCGGGGGAATCGAACCTGCACCTCTGGTTCCACATACGCCCAGCTGAACCACTGCACTATGAGCATCCCAAAATCCTATGATAGCGGCGACAGCCGCCGAAACAAAAATGACGAGTTCATTTTTGTTTCGTGAAACAATTTTTTTTTATTTCTTTATTTATTTATTTTCCCTTCAGCAAAAACATTACTTTGACAGTTGGCCAGCTTACGCGCTAGAGTAGCCCATGGCACGCACGTGTGGTGCGCTGAGAAAAACACGCGCTTATGGACATACCCAAGGGTTCGAACACTACAGTCAGGGAAAAACACAATGATAGAGCCATGAAACAATTCAGTTGGAAGCCAACACAGAGCCTGTAGACCATACTCATATGAGGTTGCAAAGACACAGCCCAGGGCTAGAAAGGATAAAGGACTGGACACAGTGCGGTGCCACTCGGACAAACAGACAGGAGATTACCAAGAAATGATACGGAGTCGGTAGGCAGCGCGGAGACTTGAGAGCCAACACGATATCAGGACAACGGTCAGGCTCCGAAAAAGGTGCAGTCAGGAGACCGAATTCCACATCATCTTACTACATATCGGAACTTCAGTCTCTCGCTTCCTCACTTTCCCAATTTCGCTGAGTAACCAGACAATACGGCTGTCTGGAGATATTCCCGGCCCCGACATCGCCAGCGACGCACCACTGGCGTCGGTACAAAACACAGTCGTCCGACTAAAAGCTGCTCCACCACAGCGGCACGCGAGGTCAGAAAAACGGGGCCAGTGAGCAATGCAACCGCACGCGAACAGGCGAGCAGAAATATACCACCCGGGGTCGGTCCGCAGCCTGGAGCCGCGGCCACATTTGGCAGCGAACAGGTACTCTTACAGGAAAACGCCGGCACCGCTCTGGAAAATGCGGAGTCCGCGAAAGCAGAAACGTGATCACGGAATCAGCTGCGGCGAAAAGTACGCATTTCGGCCCCACAAGTCACAAAAACCCGCTTATCACTGTCTTTCGTCTGCGAGAGGCAACGCGTTCGCCAAGCCTCCGTTCGGGAGCCGTCGCCACTGCTTTGCATCAACGCAACGTTCATCATAGAGCGCTAACCGGCATCTGCACCTCATGAACCACCCACAATTCTACGAAACGGTAACGCGGTGGAAACTCCTGAGGCATGGCCGGGCAGTGCCAGTCACATCAGCGCTGACCGGTTCCGCCGCTCCTTCTCCCGGAGTGGACGGGGCGCTCGGCGACTGGAACCTCACGCCCTCACGTGGAGTTCCCGAACTTGAAACACGCTCACATAGCGGACTCTGGTTATAGTGTGCAGAATAGTTTCCCGTGGTGTGCGACTGCCAGCGGGTGGGCGCAAGTGCACACAGCACGCCTGATAGGCCGCACGGCTACGCTATGTTTGGCTTTTCCGCTGCGCTGATAGTCGGACTCCATCGCAAAACGCTGCTGTTTCAAATGCCTTCCGCCGAATGCCGGCGCCACATTCCCTGATCGTGTCGAATCGAATGCACAGGCGAAGGCGTCCATCGTCTGAGAGCTGTTGTCAAACTCCAGCTGCATCCCAGACATCCAAGCCAACAAGCCAAACGCGACAGCACGGAGCCCGAGGTGTTCACGAGCTAAGAACTCGTAGTCAGGACGACGATCCCATCATGAGACTCGCGCCGATCTGCGCAGCCAGAAGAGAAAAATGGAAAACGTCAGAAAGCCCGTCACGGGAGGTTGGATGAGAGGGGGAGCAGGCGATACCCCCTCCACGCCACGCCCACGTCCTGATGACAGGGTCGAAGCGTGTGCCACGCTCTCTCGCGCCGAGCCCACCGCAGCGTCGCACGGCCGCCGCGCGCTTCAGGTCGACCATTGGAGGCGAGGGGGCGGCTGACCCCCCGCCCCGACTTCGGTGCCTCCCTGGCGGACGACGCTGACCGCGGGGAGGCCCCCGAGCCGCGGGCTTCCCCCGGTCCCTCCCGGCCCCGATACGCCGTCTTCGCGTCCGGCGTCGCGACCGTCGCGCCGCCTCCTCCGAAAAGCGCACCGGGCGCGACTTGAGCCCGGATCTCCGAACCCACGGCACAAACCGCGACCATTCGCGCCGGCGGCGGCTGGTGTGACCGCGGCGGACGGCGCGCCAATGCACCCGGTTATCCGGAGATCACGACCGACGGCCGCAGCCGAGCGGGCCGCAGCCGGCGCCCGCCGACAGCACGAGCCCAGATCACAGCGGCGCCCGGTGGCGCGGCTCAACAGGCACGGCAAACCAGCGCACGGTCCCGAAGCGTAGACCAGACGCGCGTCGTCGCTTCGGGCCTGTTTGTGAAGCGCCACGGCCGGCGGGCGGCGGGCGGCGGTGGGCGGCGGCGGCCGGCGGGCGGCGGGCGGTGGGCGGTGGCCGTACCGCTCAGAGCCACCCGCCGGCGGGTGATTCCCGGAAGTACAACGGGGTCACACATTCCGGCCAACATCCTGTCAGCGATGCCTCACTAGGACGCGTCGTGCACGGCCGCTCAATGCCAGACGCTGCTTTGAGGTCCACGCGGTACGCGCCGGCCGCCTTGTGCATATCGCGTTCAAAAGAATGCTCTCACACTGCACTAGCGTTGCACGACGCGCAGACGACATTGATATGTGCCGCAAATGCGTCACGACCGCGTCCTAAACTGGATGTCCTGATATGCACGCGTCCAAGCCCAGATCCGGGGGCAATGTGCTGCATATCACGCGGCGACTTCTGACATTTCAACCTTATAAGCTGAAACAGCACGCCTTCAGTGGCAACGGCGGGAGCGCGGTGCGCTTGTAACCAGTACGCCATGTGTGAGGTTCCAATACATCACATATTTGCGCAGCACTCAGACATGCCACGGGAAGGACTACTGTCGCTCAAGCCTTCGGCAGGATTACCGGGAACTCCCTCGATTGCCTGTAACGAGCGCTCCCGTTCGCCATTTCAATCACGTTGTGTCTCAGGCTTCCGCCTGTCAGCCAGCAGCTGATCATTACGCCATGCCGAAACCCCAGACTTTGGCTGCTCTCGACTCCGCTGCGCGAGACCGCAGCCCCGGTCCCGATGGTCTCCAGCGTGCAGTAACGCTCACATACCACGGCCGAGCGTTGCATCATGCGCGATCGGACGCAGCTCGCCCGCTCACAGTCTCGCCGCAGCCGCCACCAATGTGGCGCATCTCGGATTTAGCGGGCACCGTGCCCACCGCAGAACCGCGGTTACTTAAATAAGTAGAACGCTGCAGCACGCTACCTACATTCGTATATCTGTATTTTTGGACGGAATTTCTCTTCACGAGGTCCGAAGACGGCTAAGTTTTAACTTTAGCAGGGGAACACTAGAAGAGGCTACCATTCAATAGTACTTGATGTCAGTATATATTACTATGTCTACTACTATAGACATCCATCATCAATACTACTATGATGTCTGCGTCGTAGTATTCGCATTATGGCCGCAGACAGAGCCCAAAGTCAGTGTTTCAGGTGTCCCAGCCTTGCTGTTTTCTGTGTTTCGCGTACACCGACTACAGTTTCATCACTTGGCGCCCACACTGGTTCAGCCTTGTCTGGGCTGAAAGTATTTTTTAAGGGGGAGGGGAATTTTGATCGCGCCAGAAGCAGCCCGCCGACACACAGTTTGGTGGTCTAAACCCCTATAAATTCACGAAACTGGCAGCGCCGTCAGTCGGCGGCTCCGCTGGCCGACTTTCTACCTCTGCTTTACGCACGAACCGGTACTCTGAGGCATACATCACACAATCACATCACCAACACTGCAGTTACCATCATCACATTAACGGCCATTACAGTAACTACCGTTATCTCAACCACTAATTGCCGCTATATTAACCATTAACTGCCGCGGCCGTTATTTAATTAACATACTTCATTAATTAATTAACCGTTACCGTTACCGGCCGTTACTTAATTAATTAACATACTGCGGCCGTTATCTCAACCACTAACTGCCGTTATCTCAACCACTAACTGCTGTTAACTTAACCACATCACATCCAGCGGTATTATATCAACCACATCAAATAGCCATCATTGCCTTGCTGCCACCATTGCGAAAATCACCGCTTCTCGTCAACCATGAAACGACTTCCTTCTTCTTCAACGCAGTGACTCGGCTAAACCCCAGCCGAATCGGCTCCGCGCCCCCGCCAGCCGCCGCGCCGCCTCACGTCGTGGCGCCGTCACTCACCGTGATCTGGATCTCCCGCTTGCATGCCTGCAAATCGGCCTCGCTGTTGACGTACATCCTCTTCAGCGCCAGCTTCTGGCCGCCGGGGCCGCGCACCAGAAACACGATGGCGAAGCCGCCTGCGGGCACGGTCAGGTCACGGGTCACCAGGCACGCGCGCCTCGCCGCCAGGGCGCCCGCGGCCGCTGCTCAAGGGAGCGCGCCGACGTGCGGTGCTATGAGCCGCCGTTTCGCCGTGTTTGTGCGGCATTGTTTGTGAGCCGGCCAGCGTGACTGCCGCCGGGACGAGGCAGCGCCCGTGTCCGTGACAGCCATGTGCAGGTTACACCCGTGCGTCAGTGACAGCCGTGTGTCGAGGACACCCGTGTTGGTGACACCCATGTGTCGGTAATACCCGTGTGTCGGTAACACCCGTGTGTTGGTGGTAGCCGTGTGTTGGTGACATCCTTGTGTTGGTGACACCGTTGTGTCGGTGGCAGCCGTGTGTCGGTGACGCCCGTGATCGGCCGCTGCTGTCCGATCAAACGACACAATAGAGCAACATCGTCGCCGCCAGCCAGCTGGGTGAACGGTCCGTGGCGATGTACCCTATCGCGATACCCTATCCAGCCTGTCGTGCTGCAATACTGCGGCACGATATTGTCGTTAAACAAGGCAATCGGGTAAACAGCGGCGAATGGTAAGCGTTTTCCGTTACGTGTTCTCTGCGTCCGGTGATCCGACGAGTGAGGTTACCCGACGTGGTTACGTCATGTTCACACTTGTATCTTGTTGAAGTGAGACTTTCTCTTCTGGCGACAGCTAACGGGCCCATATGCGTAATTTCTAGTCACAGACACAGCTATCCCAAAAAGAATTTACGCTAAATCTGCGCATAAATCGTCCGAAAAAGTCGCAATGCCATAGCCGTTACGGTGCAGTTCTCATGGATTTTACAAGAACAGGAACCCGTCGGCTGGCTGCAATGTTCTTTTGCGGCGGTACTTGACACCATGCATGTCACGTGCTCACTAATCCTGACCATTCACTGACGCCGCCAATGTGCACCGACAGCAGCGCTGCCACTCACACATCACGGCTGTTATAGCCCCAGCCAATAAATCAGCTCCATAGTGGGGGAGTTCATCCTCCACCCCCACCCCTCTCTCCCCACTCCCCATGATGTCAAGTTCAAGGACTACAACATGCTGTACCAGTATGTCATCCTAACCTACACATGATGATTGGAAAGGGAAACTGTGACACATATGGGATTACCACACATGTGGGATTCTGACATTGACTTGGCATGACTAGTTCAGTGGCTCCACAAAATCCATTAAGTCAGATTTGCATAAAACCACAATGTTGTCAAATAGACCTTTCTGTCTTTTACAGACAGCAAAGTTTAGCCCAAAGGCACTTCAGCTCTGTGACTGAATTTCCTTTATGCTTGTCAATAGAACTGATTAAAAACAGCTCTGGAGCATACAAATGACAATGTATATTTCTGAATAACACCCAGTTCTGTAAATGCACACATGCTGCCTGACTTAAATAATTTTTGCATAGGATATGTGGTGTACACAGTTTGATTCAGAGAAAATTTACCTGGGAATTAAAGTAGACATAGTTTGACTTAAAGAATACTTTGCTTAGGGAATGTGGTATACACTGATGAACCCAGTGCACACTTTGAGAAACTTCATAAAGTGGGACTCTTGCATTACTAGAGATGGATCTTTAACACAATGAACATGATATATGACATAGCATTGTATTTTTGAACCTCAATGTGCAGAATTTGGGATTCTCCTGCTGACTTGTTTGGCAAAATTGTAGAGTTCACTTGGCTCCAGTGGTTGAGGATAGCCTGAAACACTCCAATAATCTGCTGATAGATATATCCTGCAGTACAGGAACTTCCTGATCATTGTATGCTGGGTGAGATGGGGTAAAAATACAAAATAGGCCCAACACCTGCACCTGCCCAATATGTTGAAGAAATCTGACAGCAGTCATTTTTAAAAGACAGCCAGAACATTTTCACAATACAAACTGTAAGTGCACATACAGTCTATTTGTGTCATGATTTGTTGGAAAGAGCTTAAAAATATGTATTGCAACAACGCAGTTTAAGGTTTTATCACATAATTGGCCACTTAAGTCATTTGCATACATATTTCATGATACCTTGAAGTGGCACACCACTGGCATGTTATTAGCAGGTGCCACACCACATTTTTTCATCACAATCTGCCAGCATCTTTTGCCATAACTTAACTGACTATCAGCATTAGTGCCCCTCCCCTCTCCAGTGTAATCCATAACACATTGATATGCAAGCTTTCCCTGATAAGCAAAACATGGTTGCAATATTTATGCAAAGAAAGCCACAATACCAAAATAGAACTAAATAATGACAGTTTGGGTTTTGTACTTGTTTGTGACTTCTGTCAACATAGCATGCACCTAAGCTATGGCAGCATTTGATAAGTATTAGTGGTGAGCAAGTTATAGGTCATTACAGAACTTGCCGAAAAAAACATAAAGCAAAAATTGGTAATTTCAAAACATATTATATTAATACAAGCCATGTTTTCAAAAATAAACAATTTTACTGTTTTGGATTTTTGAACGCAACAGTTGTTAAATCATTAATAAGAACTCATAAGTGGGCCACAATCCTCAATATTTATTGTCTTACACCACTTTCCTGAAAATGATCATCTCAGAGGGGGCAACATATAATGAATATAGGTGAACTCAAATTGCACTTAGCTTTCAAATTGTTTGCTTGAAAAATGGTTCACAAGTATCTTTGCTTGGAATTACCCAAAATCCTCATTCTTTAAAGCATTGGCTATCTGTGTAGTAGTAGTTGTGTAGTAAAACTAGTTGTGACCAAGCACCAAACCTGAGTTCTGAGAATTGCACAGTGTCTGCGCTTGAATTAGTTGTGACCAAGCACCAAACTTGAGTTCTGACAATTGCGCAGTGTCTGCACTTTATTTGCTTATTGTTAGTGCACATTAAATTGTTTATAGGACCCTGCTGCTGCATTGGCGCTGTGCAGCATACGTGTATTTGTATGGTCTGGCCCAGAATCAAAGCCAGCACCTGTCAGATGTCTCACCTTCAGCGATCACATCTTCCACAGTAACGGATGTTCTTCCAACCTGAAAGGTCTTCCCAACAAATGATGTATTTTGTGAAGAATGATTGGAAGCATTGGGATTCTTGGAAAAAAGCTTCCTCATGACCATTGGCAGCTAGAAGCAACAATTGGCAAAGCCCTATCCAGTAGCTTCCCAAGGAATGCAGAATACCAGAGTAGAGCTCTCGGAATGGGGACAGTTGCAGTTTTTCCCAGTTAGGCTGACAATTCCAAATTCGAGTTCGCCCAGTGGAGGACCACGCCAGCGCCTCTTTTGTCGCTGCCACCGGCGCCACTTGACTGAAACCGATACACTGTAGCGCTATATAGCCAATGCATCAATGGCCAAACCCTATACCACAAGTTTTGGGCAAAATCTATGATTTGTTCAGCGATAAATCGCAAATTTCTCCTGCACTCCAACCACAGCCCTTTTGTCTTAGGGTTCTTCCGTATGTCATGTAGGACACTGTTTAGTGACGCAAAATGCGCTGTTTTTCGTACCTAGTGCGCCAAGTTAACCAGGCTCTGCTGCCACCTAGTGTCAATAAAACGAGTAAGAGGGTCCGTAATTCTAAGCAAATTGAGAATTTACCTGGTATATCGCGTATTTTTGACATTTTGATGTTTTCTACCCAATAAAGATATCGAATTTGTCGGGAAGAGGCGCGTTTCTTTCATTAGCTTCCTTTTTAGCTGGGTGTAATGTATTGTTTATATTTATTGCTCCGGTAACCATGGCAGCGTTGTCAAGGCCAAGCAATCGGACGAATTCCTTCAACACACAAAGCGGGGAACGTGCCCGGCACATTCATTGTCCGCGGCTTTCGGTGGTGGCCGGTGACCGCGATTTCTGCTGCAGGTACAAGGGTTCTTCTGTTTTGAATCGGCTGTCGCCTTTATCCTCGTGTGGGAAGCCGCCCCCTGATCGAGGGGTTGCGGGTGGAGAATACATTTCGTCTCGCCGCTGTAGCATGTGTTTCGGTGAGTAACAACCTCTGTACCTGCTACCAGCGTACCCAGGCTGCCTTTCTGCATACACTAGTAGTGGAATCATTGTCAGGCTGAGTGCTCAGGCCCACATGTTTCAAGGCTCCCAAGTCTGCAATTGTTTGGTAGTCTTAGCATAGGCATTGTAATACATATTTGTATACATGTGTGCTTTACTCTTGCCTGCAAGCTCCCATCATTCATTGCTTATTCATTCCACACATGTCATTTCCTCACTTGATTGTTGCTTTTAGAGTGAACACATGTAGGACTTTCATAACAATGGCTCCCCAGAGTTGAGGCCTACCCTGGCCTGGCAACCAGTCTGCAAGTCATGATAGGAATGCCCTTAAGACAATAGGGGCTATTTCAAGGCATGTTACAAGACATTGTTTCACAAAATGAGTTATTGGAGCTGAATGGTAAAAAATGATTTAACTGACCCCAAGATATGCTGAATATGCTTCTCCCCAGATTTCACCCACTTCCTTCCCAAAAGTGTGGGGGGGGGGGAAGGAGAGACTGGAGCCCAAGTTAGGGTACCTGAAGTCCCCTAATTGAGCAGAAAACTATACTCCTGTCATGCTAGGCACTTGGGGTGGCACCACTGCCCTCAGCATACATCTTAAAAACTCTATTGTGGTGTTTAGGTCAGCCTGGCAGGCAAGGCCTAAACATGGCCTATAGATAGGTTCTCAGTGTGATATGATTTTATAGACCCCTTTTTGTTAGGAACTCCTAATGTCTCAATTGTTTGTGCTGTATCAGGGTTATGGTGCTTTTCCATCATGTGTATTCCTAATTTAGATTGTGTCATTGTCCAAGAAGCCATCTCAAGGTTGTGTGATCCCCTTTTTGAAGATATAGTCTGAACTTTTTGAAAGGGTTGATTTCTGGCACCAAAGCCATTGTCAAGCAGTCCATGTTGTGGGAACCCTAGTACCTGCTGCTTTGTCTTAAGTGCTAGGTCACCAACAGAATTTGGTTGCAAAAACATGTTGCAATCTTTGGCATGGTCTGTCCTGTGGGTAGTTCTGCTTGTGATGTCATCCTAATGTCAGGGCAAGGCAGGCTATCCCAGTCAAGGGCAAGCAGGAAGTACCCACAGCCATCTGGGCCCATCGTGCCGGGTGTGGGTGGTGGTTGGGTCACGAGAAAGGTTGTGTTAAGTACATTTTGGAACACATGTGGCTATAGTTACAGGTGTTGATAGGACATTCACAAAGTGTCTGTTGGATGCTTTGAAATATGTTACAATGTGATTTCTGCATTTTATTTAAAGCAAGTGTTCCACACTTATATGGGGTTTCCAGGAGGCTCCTTGGCATCTGCCACTGCCTCCGCAGCACTTCCCTCTAATGAGAGACGTCGTTCCAGCCGAACCCGCAGTCGCCAGCTAGCGCCGCCGCTCGCGGCGGCCGCGGCGCGAACTGCGGCCGCCATGTAGTGCCGCTAGATGGCACCCGCGCTCGAGCCGCCTCGCCGTCCCGCGACGATCGAGGTGTCCGTGGAGACGCTGACTGGCTCTGGCTTCAACCTGCGCGTCTCCAGCTTCGAGACGGTGATGTCGGTGAAGGCGCGCATCCAGCGCATTGAGGGTGAGCCTGTGGAGGCGAGGGGGAGGGGGAGGGGGCGTTGGGTTTGCGGCGAGATGCGCGAGGCGGTTGGTGTTCTCGAGTCTACCAAGTGCTGATCTACGGCGGCCGCGACCGGCGTCCTTCCTTTGAGTAAGTGGTGACCCAACTGGATAATAGGAAACGCATGGCTTAGCAGCGGTCTGGCAGCACAATGCTTGTCGTCATGATAGGCCTACAGAGAAAAAGGGCATTGTGTTCATGGAATTTTCTCCGAAGAAAAACTAAACGCTTAGAAGTGCGACCGCCTTCAGGCGGTCACTGTCCTACAGCGTGCCCGACTATGCTTTGCGTGCCCCTCCGGCCCTCCCAACACCCTCTTGTACAGATCCGTGATAACCCTGGCGGCCTGGTCCTCAGCGCGCTCCGTCCCCCGCTTCACGACCCGCCATCCCCCACTCCACGACGCTCCGTCCCCCACTCCACGACGCTCCGTCCCCCGCTCCACGACGCTTCGTCCCCCACTCCACGACCCTCTGTCCCCCGCATCACGACCCCGCTGTCTCCCGCTTCACGACCCTCCGTCCCCCGCTCACGACCTCCGTCCCCGCCTCACGACGCTCCGTCCCCCGCTTCACGACCCTCCGTCCCCCGCTTCACGACCCTCCGCCCCCCGCTTCACGACCCTCCGTCCCCCGCTTCACGACCCTCCGCCCCCCCCCCCGCTTCACGACCCTCCGTCCCCCGTTTCACGACCCTCCCCCCCCCACTTCACGACCCTCCGTCCCCCGTTTACGACGCTCCGTCCCCCCCGCTTCACGCCCTCTCTCCGTCCCCACCGGCCTTCACACGACCCTCCGTCCCCCGCTTCACGCCCTCCTACCTCCGCCCCCCCCGTCGCTTCACGACCCTCCGTCCCCCGTTTCACACGACCCTCGCGCCGCCCCCCCCTCGCTTCACGACCCTCCGTCCCCCGCTCATCACACGACACACACTCCGCCCCCCCCCCCCCCCGCTTCACGACCCTCCGTCCCCCTGCTTCACACGACCCTCCGCCCCCCCCCCGCCTTCACGACCCTCCGTCCCCCGTTTCGGCGACCCCCTCCCGCCCCCCCCCCCCCACCATTTCACGAACCCTCCCGTCCACCACCGTTTTCACGACGCTCCGTCCCCTCTCCACGACGCACCCATACACCGGAGCGGCGGGCCACCCGGGGCAGGTGTGCCCATATCGCAGCAGCACTTGATCTTCCACGAGCGCGAGCTGTCGGACGGCGCCTCGCTGCTGGAGAGCGGCGTCACCAGCGGCAGCCGGCTGAAGCTGGTGGTGGCCATGCGCGGCGGCCCTGTCAACACGCGACGCCTGCCCATGTATGACGACATCACGCGCGCCGAGATGCAGCAGCTCATGGAGATGCAGAGGTGAGGTGTGGTGTGACAGAGGTGAGGTGACGTCACAGAGGGAGGGGGCTGTGACGTCATACGGGCAGGGATGCAGAGGTGGTGACGTCACGTGGGGGAGGAGCGGAGCGGGCACAGACGGAGTGACCCGCTGTGTGATATCACACAGGCGGAGATGCAGGGTGGGGAGGGCCTGTGACGTCACATAGGTGAATGTATACAGGTGAGGTCAACTCGTGTGAAGGTATATGTGTCTGGTCTGGATCCCATAAGGGACAGAGCGGGATCCGTGGCAGGGGGGCGTGGAGAACAACCGGCCATCCGATTAGCATGTTTATGTGATGCATGCTGTGTTCAAGGGAGAGATAAACCAAATGTTGGGCTGCGAAGTGGCAGCTTCGGAGAAGTTATGCGGGGTAGGAGCGCGTGCACACGACTACGTGACGAAAGGCCAATAACCCAAACGGCTGTGCGCGATCTACAACTTATGCGGAATTAGTTTGAGATATCTGTTGCGCATAACATTCGAGGTCGGACTCAAAGAGGTCAGGTAATGTTTTTTGTCATTGTGCCATTGTACCATTGTGTGTGCCCCTGAGTGGCGCTGTACAAGTTGAGAAAGTAAATCGTTGAAGCACGCCACCCTTGCCTTCCAAGTCCAGAGTGACATGGTTGTGTAGGATCGCCGCCCAAGGGGTCGTCTAAGATCACTCCAGGACATTCCTGGACTTTCCACAGTCTGGACTGTAGACGACCTGACACAAGAGTGCAGGGTCGTAGCCAGAGCCATGGCAAGGGGGGGGGGGGGGCACGGGATTGACGGAGGGCCCGTGGTGGAAGGCCCCCACCCCGAAGAAAAATCGCCAGATTTAGTCCATTTGTTTATGAGGGAATGTTTCGTGTGTTATTTTTCATTGTTGCTTTGTCTAACATGAATATATACTGGAAGCTTGAACAGAAACCATGGCGATATCATTAGGTCTTAATTGTATGGGAATAAACTGCAGAGTTCTTGCGTTAAATGACTGCATGCAATAAATTGCAGGTGCCCTTCAGTTAACAATGATCCAGTGGACTTTTTCAAAACCGATAGAGCACAGAGGCTTTGCCGGAATTTTGTTCCGAATTCTGCATAGATTTTAAGGACCCCACAAATGTATATTGTGGGTCAAAATGTGTCCACAATCTGTATTAATATGGTCAAGCCTAGCTTTTCTGCAAATGCGCCAAGCTCCAAAAGCTGTAAATGCTGAAAAAATACTTACAATTGCAACAAATTGTTTTGAGCCACGGTTAGGTATGATGGGCAGGCTGTGCTCAAAATCAACCCGCTTTTTTACTGAAGAGCTTGCTTTATGGGGTAGTTTATTATGCTCATTTCGAATCTCTTGATAACAGGTACCGCAGCAGACATCTTCCACGAACTTCCGAACGGTCATTGTAGGTCATGGACCTAAAATGACCCAGATCAACGCTCTGTTTTATGAACATACTGCCTGTTGTAATCCTGAACGCTTACTGAAATAAAAAATTGAAATAATATCGTAGGTTTTTGTTTAACAAACCATTTAAAGGTCAAGTAAAGTCGTTGACCTAAAAGAGGCACCAGCCATCTTTTGCTTAGAACAGGTATGTAGGTTCAAGGCGGTTGGATGAAGAGGTCTGAGCGCAATTTGGACGCCAACTTTGAGCCTTGTTTGACCTTATCACACCCGAAGTTCATGACTTATGGATCCCGAAAATTGACAAGTGAGTTCACATCCAGACCGACTCACCGTACGAATTTGGTGTCCCTAGCTCTCTCAGTTGTTGATATCTCAGGGGGTCAAATTGACCCCCCCCCCCCCCCAACCCACCCGAGCGAACGGTGTTTAGCCGGCCGCGTGGGCGCTTGTTAACGAACGCAGCATGTACTTGACATTGACGCGCAATCCCGCTCCCAACGACGAGCACCATGCCAGCGCTGTGTCGCCGCGTTCCGTCGCCGCCGCTTGCCAGCCGCGTGTCCCGCATCGGGCTCGTGCGCTCGCGTCAGAGACGGTCGCTGCTAGCCGCTGGCGCCGTGCGGGCCGCCGCCGCCGCCGGGCCCGTAGCGGACCCGTGCAGGAATGCGGCCACCGTCGCCGCCGGCACCGATTGGGACATGCCGACGATATCGACTGGCGACCGGGCGCCCGCTCACGTCCGCCGACGCCGGGGGGGGGGGGGAGGGGGAGGGGCGTACCGCGCCGGGCCGGGCCGGGCAGGCCGACGGAGGTGCCGGCCGGCGCGACAGTGACGCGATGCTTGGTCGCGTGCTGCGGCGGCTCTCGGTGGCGAGGTCACTGACCGCCCCGTGACCGGTCTGAGGAAGTCGAACACCGCTGCCGGGCCGAGGCATGGAAACGGATGGCCGTCTGCTGATCGTGCGGTGCGTCTGTGTGGGTGTGGGGGGGGGGGGGAGTTCCGGTGAAAACGTTTTCCAGTGTTGTTTTGTGTTCTTTATTGATCGCTTACATGCCTCGCTGCGAATCAAATATCTGATTCATTTGTCACGCGGTAGGCACCTGTAGCTTGGTCTTTTGATGCCACAAAAATCGTCCAGAGTGCCGCCGCATTTGATAGCCCAGCTTATTGTCACCACGCTGCGACGAAAACGCCGCTCGGCGGGAATCGAACCCGCCTCGCCGTGCCCGCCCGGCTACTAACGCCCGTGTATCCGCGCAGCAGGGAGGCGTCGTGGGACGGCGACACGTCCGGCCGGCAGGTGACGCTGCTGGTGTTCCGCGAGGGTGACCAGGTCAACTTCTACCGCGTCATGGAGAACACGGACGGCACGTTCTCGCCGCTCTCCGACTCGTGGGGATCGTCCATCAGGTGGGTGGTTGGGCGCCCGCCCGCGCGCGCGCGGATGTCACTAGCTCGTGCCGCGTGGCGCCAGGCAGGAGTGTCCTGTGGTGGCGGTAGGGGTACTGTTTACTGCGTAGAAAGGGCTGCCAGGGCGTTGTTTGCCCTCTTGAGATCGGGTGATGCTCTTTTCGGTTCATTGTGATTTAGAGTTTGGACCTCCGTGCTGCAGTGTGGACAGATGCAGAAGGCCGTTCTCGAGAAGTTCTCGTCAAAGTCCAAGGGTGGACGAGCTGTCCGTCCAAAAAGTGTCCAAACGCCACGTTGTCCAAAAATGAAAGTCCCCGTTTTGGACCTGCAACAGGGGGTCCAAAACTGACGCAAACTACGGATTTTGAGGAAATCGGAGCTCGTGCTCTCATCTCAGTCTGTAAGTTCCACAGCCTAAAGAATATGTGGCAGTGCACGCGATGAGGTAGTCTGTCTTATGTTTCAGAAAGAGGGATGTTCTTAGTGTCCCTGTCAGCAACTTGCTTATGTTTAAGAATCAAATTATGTTGAAAACGAGCAGCCTGAAATAAGTTGAGGCGCGTATCAATTTCCAGCACCACAAAGTTGCGTCGGCCGTCCAAAAAAGAAAACTCCAAAGATCTTAGTTTCTGTCCGTTTAATTTTCAACGGGTGGGATTCAATTAAATTAGGGTATTTTTGAAACTGAGGAAATTTTGAATCCAATGAGCACATTTAGACAGCTGAGCCGCAGCCGGTTTTCATCTCACATCGGATTATCCGTTGTAGTCTGTTCACCACTCTGTGGAAGCTCGGGGCGGGGGGGGGGGCACCCCGCGACCGGCAAGCAGTCTTGTGGCAAATGTTTGGCTAGTGACCACATCTAGCTTTAAGCAGCATTCAAACGTGTGCCGGCGTTGAGAAATGTCAACCGCTGTCGTCATTGGCTGACGGAAAAAGTTTGGTCTGTCATCAGCAAAGTTTACAGTCCGCTCAAGCCCTCGTGGCAGATATTCGGGACCGCCTCAGTTACGTCGTCTGCGCGCTGTCCCGTGACACAAGCATCGTGCATTTTAAATGTGCCACACATTGCAGTGTTCGTGGCATTCATTTGCGAGGACGTCTGGTAATGACTAAAGCGACGGCAGGAGCCAGGAAGTAAAGCACACCATTATTTATTGCTGCCACACGTGAGCCCGGTTCGCTGAACGGCCCTGAGCAGCATGTCCTGGCAATCTGACTTCGGTCTGATGTATGGTGGCTGGGGGTCACTGGCGTGGCGTCGCGCTCCAACCTTCAGAAATCGGTTGACTCTGTGAACGGGGACGTCCCGCGACTGGAACGGTCTACCCACATGCTAAGTCCTTGAACCCCGAAGAACCATGGGTGCCGTGTGGGTAATAGATGGCAGCGCCAGGACGTGTATTACCCACCTTGCCGCGTGGGTAACATATGTCCTGGCGCTGCCTCTATGCCTATGGCCTATGGCCTATGCATCCCGACTCCTGGCTTCCCGCTGTCGGGCCCGGGATACCCGCAGGGGGAAAACAACGCGGCAACGGAGGGGGGGAGGAGGCATTCGCCGATGGCATGCCTCCCCTCCCCGCGTTGCCCGCCTGACTAATAAACGAGCACTCCCCACGCTGTCGTCATACCCCGGGGAAACACTGCCAGCTGCACGAGCTTGCAAACCTCGGAACATGACATTAACATGACACCACTCTAGCGACCTCATACAGCTACCGCACACCAATTCAGCTTGGCCAGCACGAAAGGTCAAAATCTCCAGATTCTGGGCCCTTTTGTATGGCGGTATTAGACAGCAATGTGCAGGTTACCATAGGTTCATGTTACTGATCATTGGGTTGTGCGTACCGTCGCACGGAAGGGCAAACTCGGCGCGTACACATCAACGGATGAGACGACTCGACTGAAGCTCAGTGGCAGGGGGATATGTGATGGCCGGTCGCACGCGTGGACAGCTCCTCGGCGTGCTGGGCCTGGCACTGATTCGCGACGCGATGTTGCGACCGCTGTGTGGACCGGCGCTGCGGCGCTGCTGACAGATCAGAGAGACGGGATGGTGCGACCGCTGTGTGGACCGGCGCTGCGGCGCTGCTGACAGATCAGAGAGACGGGATGGTGCGACCGCTGTGTGGACCGCTGCTGGGTGGACGCCGGCGCTGCGGCGCTGCTGACAGATCAGAGAGACGGGATGGTGCGACCGCTGTGTGGACCGGCGCTGCGGCGCTGCTGACAGATAGAGAGACATGTGCACCGAGTGTGACCGCGCTGCGTGCTGAATCAAGGACGCGACGTTGTGTGGACCGGCGCTGCGGCGCTGCTGACAGATCGAGAGACGGATGTGCAGATGTGCGCACCGCGCTGCTGTCAGAGACGTGATGTGCGACGCTGTGTGGACCGGCGTCGGCGCTGCTGACAGATCAGAGAGACGTGATGGCGCGACCGCTGTGTGGACCGGCGCTGTGGCGCTGCTGACAGATCAGAGAGACGTGATGGTGCGACCGCTGTGTGGATCGGCGCTGTGGCGCTGCTGACACATCACAACCGGGTCTGGCCTGAACCTTTCGGAACCGGGTCTGCCCTGTCACAGGAATATGTTCCACGAGGAGAATCCAGATGAGGTGAAGAGGCGCATCGAGGAAAACACAAACACCATGAGCAAGGTGATCGACCTGAAGCACAGAATGCAGCAGATGACGTTCAGGAAGAAGGTGAGGGTGGCTGCGGCCTCCGGCCATGTTGGAGACGCGGAAGGCCTGAGGCTGTGTCTTCCCGTCCCGGCTTCGACTTTGGTGTCGCGTTATTTCGCCTGCGAAGAGGTAGAGAGAGCGTTCGTGATGTTTGAATTATTTGGAGTTTCATGGTCTTGCCCGCTCGGCGTTTTGGCAATTGTATTTACGTCGTGGTATTCGTACGTTCTGTCCGGGCACGTATTGAACACTCGAGTGAACTCTGTGATCCGGCCCCGGGCAGGTATGTGCGTGTGTGGCGATCACTGCAAGCATGCTCTGCCGCTGGTATGCAGATGTGATCGTCAGATGGTGCGCTAGCGTTCGTCACAGTGATAACGGAGTCGCGACGGTGTGTAACAGGCAGACGATACGGCTTGTCCAGCGGCGGTAACGCCATTGGAGACGAGGCTCCTTGAGGTGACTAGGTCGTCACCACTGGCCGCGACCACGCGTACGCCGCCGCTGAGCCGACCGCCCTCGGTGACCTTGATGCCGTGCGCCGCCGCCGGCAGGGTCGGGCCGTGCCGTCCCGCGGTCCGAGTCGCCAGAGCCGGACGGCGGCCGCCACGCCGCGCGCGCCATCTACCGGCGACCGCGTGCACCTGCCGCCGGTGTCGGCCGTGGCGCGGCCGCCGCCGGCGCTGCCGCACCACCACGGCGATCTGTCGGCGTCGTTCTCGCGGCTGGCGGGCGGCTCGGCGGCGCGGCGACGCTGGCCGGAGCCGTCCTCGCCGGCGGCGGCGGCGCGCGCCGCGTCGGCCGCGTCGGAGGCGGCTGACGAGCGTCAGCAGCTGACGTCGCGGGGTACGCTGGCGTCCGGCCGGCAGCTGGCGTCGGGACGGCGCCGCAAGCTCAGTCTGTCGGAGAGCACCGAGCTGTTCAGACAGGTGCGCTGGACTGGGCCGACATAGGGCTGCGCAGACGGCGGAGCCGGACCCTTCAGACACCGAGCTTTTGAGACAGGCGAGGCAGGCTCTTCAAACACAGCAGCTATGGACAGGGGGAGCCGGCGTGTTCAGACAGAGTTTTTTTCAGACAGACGAGTTGGACTCTTTAAAGATCTGCAGGGGAGGACTGTTGACAGGAATGATCAAAGCTATTGACACTGACCTCCGAAGATAAGCGATCCAGGCTGTTCAGACACGACTTGTTCAGAAACACGTCCCGTCAGTACAGACGGCCGCCGTGCTCTTGGCTCCCCTTCAGATGGGTGAGATGGGGATCTCGAGGGAATGCAATGAAGCTTGTGGGCAGGTGGCGGCTTTGCTCGGGGGAGAGGGGAGCCCCCCCCCCCCCCCCGCCCTCCCCCGCGGCGTCCCTCGGGGCGTACTGACCGCCGTACTGACCTCTGGTCCCCTACCGCCGGTGCCGTGCTGACTCCCTGTCCCTGGCCGGTGCTGTGCCGACGCCCTGTCCCAGGCCGGTGCCGTGCTGACGCCCTGTCTCCGGCCGGCGCCGCCCTCAGATGCAGGCCCAGCGCAGCCTGGAGCGGCGGCCGCCGGAGCGCGTGGCCGCCCGCGACTACGGCGCGTACCGGAGGACTCTGAGCAAGCTGGCGCGCCTGCCGAGCCGACCGGCCGAACCGACCGAGCCGGCGCCGCCGGAGCTGCCCGTGCTGTTCGAGAGCGACGAGCGGCGAGGTGGGCGGGAGGAGGGGAAACGCGGAAGGAGGGGGGGGGGGGGGAGGGGTGCTGGGAGAAAGGAGGGCTGGGAGAGCGGAGGAAGGGTGGGAGATAGGCAACAGACACGGGAGGCAGGGAAGAAGAGAAGGTGGTGGGAGAAGGGGAGAGGTTGGAGAAGGGATGGGAGGTGGGAGGAGAAAATGAGGAGAGTATGGGGAAGGTTCGGAAGATGGGAGGAGAGAGGAATGAGAATGCATCAAAATGGGAGACAAGGGTCAGATTGGTGAGCGAAACGGGCTGGCCGGAGAGCGCGCTGCCTGACCGCCCTCGCGCATCCCTGTGTGACCCAAACCGGTACCGACAGGCGGTGGGGCGTCCCGGCGGGTCGCCGTCGCCTCGGCCGGTGCGCGACCGCGTACCTCTCCGCACGCCCAGCTCCACTCCAAGGACGACTCGGAGCGCGCCGTCAGCCCGGCGCTGAGCCTGCGGCCCACCGACGGCCGTGCGCGCCAACTCTGCCGCATTCTGAGCGCGCGCGCCGCGCTGGCGCCGCGAGCCGCCGCCGCGCCGCCACCGCCGCCGCCGGCCGCCGTCGCCGCGCCGGCCAAGCCGCGCGCTAAACGGCCTCGCTGTCAGCTGTGCCGGCGCCGGCTGGGCCTGGCGGCGGCCTACAGCTGCCACTGCGACGGCGTGTTCTGCCCGCAGCACCGCTACCCGGAGTCACACCAGTGCGGCCACGACTTCAAGGGCGAGGGCCGCAAGCTGCTGGAGCGCGCCAACCCGCTGGTCACGGCGCCAAAGCTGCCCAAGATCTAGCGGCGGGATGTGCGGTGCGGCGGGAGGGAGAGGGGCGGCGCGGGAGGGCGGTGCTCCGGCGGGAGCGCGGCGTGGATGGCGTGGCGCGTGCTGCAGTGTGGCGAGTATCGTCCCCCTGCTTTCGCGGCCCATCCGTCCTCGCCCCGCGCGCGCGTACCCCGGAGTCGAGCTGTGTGACGAGCCTCAGTGGTGTGCTCGTTGGTCGTCTCCCCGCGCCGAGAAGCCGTCCACACCCGCGCCGCCCGCCGCCGAAAATGGCGCGCTGTCTTGGCGCCGCGGCCCGCTCCGCTGCGGTCCGCGCTTGTCCGGAGCGTGAGGCGCCGCCGGTCGGCGCGGCGTGGCGCGGCGTCTGCGGACGAGAAAATTCGGCTTGCCGCCGCCGCCGAGGCCGCTGGCGGTCCACGGTGGCGTCTGGAGTAGGAGCGGGGCGTCGCCAGTGCCGGCGGCTGCTCGTGACGCGGTGCAGACTGGCCGGACTGGGCAGAGTGAGGGAGAGGCGCGAGGGGGCGTGAGTGAGGCAGAGTGAGAAAGGCGCCAGAGAACCGTGCGCCAGCCACCCACGCGACGCCGGGACAAATGCATTGCGGAATGGGCCATGGATAGTGACGCGCGCGAGGCGATAGCTGAAACCACGGTGGCGCGGATGTTGTAGCGCACCTCAACTGCCTTCTCGCCTCAGTTGTGTAAAATCGAATACCAGAAGACGACTAGCGGCGCACGAGGATGGCGTGCCTGCATGGAGGCTGGCGCTCTCCGCCGTCCGCCTCGGCGGACGGAAGGCAGGCCGGAGGTGGCGCCACCACCGGCCGGTGCGCGCACCAGGCGCCGGCCGGGCTCCGCGGCGGCCTCCGCGCGCGGCCCCGCGAGCGAGGCGCGCCGCCGCTGCTCGCCTCTGGAAGACGGGCTGCCTCGCGGGCGCAGTTGGTGCCGTGCGCACGCGCCGCCGGACGACCAAGGAACGAACGAGGGCTTTCGTTGACCGGGCGGCGCCCCCGGCTTGTCATCAAACTTATCTAGTCGTTGTTCGTCTAGTCTCGCACGGGTTTATCACGGCTGTCTCGTCTCCGCCAGAGCGCAGCGTTTGGTTCCGGATGTGGTGCGACGAGGAAAACTGCGTGGCGCCCGGCTCTAGGTCTGTTGTGTTAACCCAAATTCCGTCATTGTGATGTGGACATGCGGCGCCCCCAACGCCCAGATTGTGACGGCACCACAGGCCTTGTCAGAAGGCATGTTTTAACATTCTCTCGTCTTTGTCCATATGTGGTAAGTCCCCCCCAGGCGGGTGAGGTGGGTTAAAATAAAGCCTTTGCCATGCTTAGGTTGTACTGAGCTCAGCCCGTCCCCCCCCCCCCCCCCCCCGGATGAAGCGTTTTGTCGCGCTCCATTGCACGTGCAATAAATCTATATTACAATTTTCATTGTTTTCAGTTTATGGAAGGTGCTGACCTGCGGAGGGCCGTTGGCATGTGGAACTGTTTCCTGTTGGTGTAGCGTGGGAAATGTAAAATTTGCAGGCTGCTAAAAGACACCGGAGCTGCATGACCTACAGCAGTCGATGCGCCCCAAAAAAACGCTGGAAGGCGTGGCGAATTTCGGCTCATGTGAGAAACTGGGCAGCGATTATCATACAAAGCAGAATCGACGCATTTCGGGTCGGTAGAACGTTACGGTATAGGCAAAAACGCGAATGGATACGCGCCATCGCGCTCGTGCGCGGACAGGATCCGCCGGTTTGGGAGCGTTTTTCAGGGTCGATGCCAGATCTCGGCGACCCGAACAGGCAATGATGTGAAACTCACTGCACCACGCAGGTGCACGTACCGTTTGAAAATCACTCGGCCGGCTCAGAACTGTCCGACGAAGCGACAGCAGTTGCGCTCTCCAAAAACAGCCAAGAAAGCAACACGCTGGTATCCAGACCTAGCGAGCTTGGGTCATGGAGTGGATATGGAGGGATGAAGCTGGGGTCATGGAGTGGACATGGAGGAATGAAACTGGGGTCATGGAGTGGACATGGTGGGATGAAGCTGAGGTCATGGAGTGGACGTGGAGGGATGAAGCTGGGGCCATGCAGACACAAAGCTCAGCTCACGGTGACCAAGATCTACCCAAAAATAGTCAAATATTTCACAGCCATGATCGCAGTTGCAATAAACGTCTGCCACAACAAAGTTTTCCGCTTTCATTTTTAAATTTTCCGCGCAAAATTCCGCGCACATTTGCCCGGAGTAATGGTAGCTACAGCATGGGCGTCGCGAAAGGAGGGGGACAGGGGGTGTAATTTCTCTTCAGCTGGGGGCTGGAGCACCCCAACTTTGAGAGGTATGTGGGCCAGATCCGGGGAGAAACCAGTTTGTTGGCGCCTTTGGAGGCAAGCTCCATGGCATTCACTGTTCCCCCCCCCCCATCCAACTTAACTTATTAAGCTATGTCCCTCGGGCACGGAAAGGGGACTCGACACCCTACAAGGGGGATCGTCCCCTGCTATCAGGAACAGAAACGGCATACGACTGGCCTTTGACTTTCTATTCAACCTTGCATTCGGCCCAATATGTTTAAAATGACTGCAGAAATAGGCTTCCTACCACCAAAAATCCTTACGAACGGCATCGTGCGAGATGGGCGTAGGAACAGGGGGGGGGGGGGGG